ATTTTAATTCGATACTAAATAAACTATCCTTGTGTGTATATATCCAATGATTAAAATTCCTTTAACCATCAGAATGTCCAGCAGACTCAATGAAAAAATTCCCTGACTTTTTCAAATTTTCCAAGAGCAGAAATTAATTTTTTCCCTGACCGTTTAGTATTATTTTTTCCAAACATATAATTTACATGATCTAACACGACGATGAAAATATAAATGAACGAACACGCTGTAGATAAATCGATTTTTAACAACACAGAAAATTAGCGTACTGGGAATCAAAAGAAAAAGTTTATATTTATTTAATAAAAAAATGTCACATTATTGAGACAAATGTAGAATAATGTGAAAAAATCTAGATAAATAGTATTTCCTGACTTTTCCCTGACAATGCCCGATTTTCCAGATTTCCCTGATGGCTAAACACCCTGAACTATATTTTAGCGTATAACAACATCCGACATTGGGATTTTCTCGGACACTCCCTATAAATTACAGCGAGCACCGAGTTGATTCGAACTGTCGCGAGAATATCGCGTTCATCGTCTCCTTGCGCTGTAATCCCTTTTATTTATTGCTCTCTTCCTTCTTCAACCTCCTCCTTCCGCATGCGCACTCTGCGCTAACAAGGAAATGATGTAAATATAGGTATATACATATAAGCGGGCGTACGCATGTCTTGCTGTTGCACTTTCCTGCATCTGCACGTGGGTGGCAATCAGCCCGTCTCAACAGTCCCATTGTAACGAACGACGGTTTCTTGCGTTCACCATTAATTAAGATCCATCCTTGCGAGAGCCGTTAAATAACCCGACCATTATCCCCCTTTATTACTCGATTAACGGCTTACGCGAACCATTCCGTTGCGATTTTTCTTTCTTCACGGAAAATATTGATTATATGATATGATTGATTATACGACCAGGATAATTTCAGAAAGTCCAAAATTTTAGGATATTGTTGATTCATGACAATAGAAATCGATACTAGATGCTTTTAGAATAAAAGGATGATTTTATCGCAGCTGTAATAATTTCAATCTCTCTGTTAAAATTCGCGTCGCAATGGAAAAGTTTGCGAAAAGAGAGTCGCGCGAGTCTGACTTCACGAGAAAGTACCTCGACTTGTCATTGGTCATTGATTGAAGTTAAGTTAGAAGTTAAATTAAAGGTTAAACGTTAGTTAACGTTTAATGCAGGCTCATTAAGTTCTTTTCGACTGCAACTTTATTTCTGCCACTAGTTTGAAGAGCCATTCGAAGTAATTTCAACGGAAATATAATAAAAAAAATTATTTTACTTTAACGTAAAAGTTTACTAGACTTCTTTACAAATTAAATTATAGAAAGAAATTTTATTTGAAAATGTTTATAACAATTATAAAAAAATACTATAAATTAGATCTTGCGATGTTTGATTCTCAAGATTATATAATTATTTGTTTCCTTTTTCTTAGAAATTACAAGCTATAATTTCTGATTACTCGGACATAATTCGCTGTGTTTTGTTACGGTATCGATGCGATAATGTGAAAGATAGTTAGCAGGATGTGAATATGTATGACAATCTAGAAGCAACGTCCGTAACGTCCAGTAGAACTTGAGTTAAATCTTAAAATGAACGCGTGAGAACTTGTTGAAGTCGAAGGTCGAACCCGCTCGGCTGACCACGATAATTGGTCGTACAAGAAACAACACATCAGAAATACATACATACATAATCTTCGAAAACCTAACAATCAACCGAATAAACAGAAATCAAATAAAAATCGGGCCATTATCGTATCAAAAGAATACTGACTTGATTAACAAGAAGAAGAGAAAAAGAATTCTCGTCTTCATAAATCAATTTGTATTCCATTGTATTTATCTCAAATACAGATCTGTCAAAAGAGTGTACGAAAGAAATCTAAGATGTGATAAAAGTGAAAGAATATAAAATAACAAAGAGACAATAGTATCACGTACTTTTAGCTAAATAACGGAAAGAATAAAGGAAAGGCTAAAAGCGGTCGTGCTTTCTTTTCTTTCTGTCCGCAACGAAATAAGATCGTAAATAGTTGGGACTGGGTAAGAAAGATATGAGGGAAAAAGAAAGCTAAAAGCGTTTTCTTTTCAGCTATCCGGCGATAAAGAATGTTCCTCTCTCGCGATATGAAATGTGACGGCATGATATCTCCGTTGCTCTCTTAAAACAGGACAAGGCGCAACGCGAATCTTGAGCGGAATAAATTAAAGCGCGCGCGAACGTAATCGCGCCGTTCTCGGGGAAGAAAGACAAGTGGAATTACCGTACTTAAAGTCGCCCAAGAATCGTCCTGACGCGTCTGGAGTAACGTAAAAGTAATGTAAAGCTGACGCGTAGAGCTGACAGTAACCCGAAACGGGGCTGAATTCACCCAAGTTTATTTCTCGCGATACACGCGAGAGAGAGAGAGAGGCCAGAGAACACGAGCGGAATAAAATGTTCGCGAGAAATACGTGAAAATTCCACAGTACAGCAGTAACTCGCGCGACTGATTGCGAAATTTTCACCCCTTTTCTCGCGACAGGCGCGAAGACATTTAGAGCCGAGATATTATTTTCGCGAGGAAAAAAGTATAAATTATTCGAACAAGCATGTATAAATTTACCAATTGTCATCGACGGTTTATAACCACGATAAATCGTGAGATACGGACTACGTCGCCAGAGATTGCATACATATAATCGCCGATGTATGAAATAAAATGGTGTCGACCGTTCACAGCACAGTCGATTCATCTCGTCCACCGATTGAGAGAACCATTCGGTGTACTTGTCCCGTTCTGTGCCCTCTTTTTCTCGCCCTTCTGTATCATCGTCACACGAAAACGAACGAATGTATATACGGATGACAGAATAATACTGGGACCGTAGGTATCTCAGAATGAACGGAAGAGCTAGAAGTGAAGAAAAAAGATGAAGTACGACTGAACAACAACCTGCAGGCAAAGGCCTCCCAGGTGTCGGCTTTTTGCCGAATACGTTCGTGTCCATCCTCGCGTTCGTTTCGCCACCGAATCTGTCCGTATAAGGAAGCCGAGGACCAGGATGTAAACAGGGGAGAGAAGGAAAAAAGAAGGAATTTCGGAGAACCTGCATTATAAACCGATAGAGACCGCAAGATTCGAGATCCAATTTCCGACAGACGAAACGTCATTCCTGGCGCTGCGCGAGAAAATCCAAGTCTGTATCGCATGTGGCTCCCGTCCATTTTTACATCGTTAATGATAATAAACGATCGACGGGTTCGTACGTGACCAGTGACGTTATCGAGGACCGAGGATAAACAATTGGCCGATCACCATAAACGGTGATTTACGAGCGCGCGCGAACGCTTTCGACCTTCCATCGCATCGGCGATCTCGATGATCACGCAGGGTATATAAATGTCATACGTGCTAACTGCAATGCTGCCGCTATCGAGGAGCGTTTATCGAGAGCGACGTCGATAATGGCGGCCGTAATTGTCCGTCGTTACGGGTCCCTCGTAATGATCGACGATTTATTTTTATTATCTTCACTTAGTTTCCACGCTTCGACAACCGGGACGCGAATCTCGCAACGATTTAATAACGCGCAATTTTTATGCAAAGGAAAGATACTTTTATATATAATTATTACAATTGTAATGTGTGTCAATCAATCTTTGTAATAGGTAGCACCGATCCTGACTCGGCAAGGCGTAGACCTCGTTTGGTCCTTCCAGGGTGTCCAGCAGACTCGGTGAAAAAAATTTCCCGATTTTTTCAGATTTTCCAAGACCAGAAATTTATTTTTTTCCTGACTTCTTAGTATTATTTTTTCCAAATTTATAATTTGCATATATATGATAAATCAATTAGGTGTTAAATCATGAAATCCTTAAGATATTTTTTGTCAACGATGAAAAGGTTCGGAAGTTAAAAAACAAAACTTTAAATCAATTATACAATCTGCATTATGCACGATAAACGAAACAAACATGTCACTATAAACTATTTAAATAATCACCTTTTTTATTTATATTATATCCAATTTTGTAGTTTTGTCTCTATCAAACACATTGAAATAAAATAACATGATGATGAAAATCTAAATTAATGCTGTAGATGAATCGATTTTCAACACGACGAAAATTAGCGTGCTGAGAGTCAAGGAAAAGTTTATATTTATTTAATAAAAAATGTCAAATTATTGAGAAACAAATGTAGAATAATGTGAAAAAATCCAGATAAATGGTAAAATTTCCTGACTTTTCCCTGACAATTCCAGATTTATCAAATTCCCTGACTGCTAGACACCCTAATCTTTGTAATAGGTAGCATCAATCGCGTATGCGTGACTCGGCAAGGTCGCAGACCTCGTTTGATCCTCCGCAGGTAAAAATAGGATGGAGACAAGTGTACGGAAAAAGAGATGAATAAGTATTCGGGAGGATGCGATCGATAATATACGTTTTCACGTTAAATTAAGTTCGAAGAGAGCCACGACACGATGTGCAACGTAACACGTGTCACGCGTGTCATGCGTGACCAAACGCATATGGAGATTTCTACGATAGAAGACACCTGCCGCGCATAAAAAAATCGAATAAGAGAGTCTATGTTAATTTAGTGAATCAGTCATCTAAGCATTTTTTCCTAATAATCGTGCGGTAATATTGAAAAACTCGCTGAGAGAAAGTCGATTTTTTGATCGGTATAATTAATGCCGCCATATAATCTAGGAAATTTTATATATGTATAAAATGATGATAAATGAGACTTTATAAAACTCATTTTTTTCTTCAATGGCTTACGACTATATCTCGACGTTCAATAAAATGACCGGAATTAAATTTATATACATAATTCTAAATGTTTTTCTCGTGTGAGAAGAATTTTGTGTTATTAAAATAGAATTTCGGCCAAATTTTACTAAGGCAATTAGTGTCCTCGGTTTTTACGGCAGTCTACAAAATGAATAATAAATTGTAAACGACAGAAAGAAGATAAAAACTCACCCGGCAACCGGTGTCATCTTGAGTGCCAGTGCTCGACTGAGACAGAATCCAGCACCACCCGTGGCGAACCAGAACTTCACCTTTTGCTGAAACAGAAAAGAAGAGAAAATAATGACTTTGAAAGAAATCGCGGCGGCAGCCGCCATCGTAATTATACGATACATCGATCCGATATCGAAACCAAATGATCGATCGTCGTCGAAGTATACCGGCGATCATTCGACGATCGTTATTAACCGATTAAGAAAGAATGACTTGAGAATTAGGGACCAGGATAGATTGTATCTTGACATATCGTCGAGTGTCACGCTACCTCGGGAGCATAAATAAAAAAAAAAAAAAAAAAAAAAGAACGAAGTCATATTTCGGCGAACCAGAGACTTGATTCTCGACTTTCGCTTTGAGGACATTCGCGGAATTAAATACGGCTTCATCGATGGAGCAATCACGCGACCACCGTGGTAGTCTAATTAATAATTATTTATTCGGAGAAATAAATAATGGTACGAAGAAGTCTGCCGATCGATGACGTAAATAATAAAAAAAAAAAAAAAAAAAATTGCACACGACACAGAGCGTCGAGAAAGGTTTATTGGTCCTTTTCCCGGTGACCTGGAAACTTTGCCCCAGGAAACGTTCTCTCGTGCATGATGGACATACGAGCCGCACACACATACACATATGCGAGTGCGAAAAGCACAACATGCTGAGGTACGAGCGATTTCTGGCCGATTGCCGTGGCTGCAGGCTATTATAGCCGGACTTCTAGGCAGCCTGAGCGCGATCCACGCGGACCGATACTATCTTAATACCGGTATAAGACCGTAGAGAATCGCCTTCGAGGAGGCGTGGTGTACGAACGAGCTGAGCAAGACAACAGCCAGGACGCAATGTATAGGTACGCAATATATGGGTTCGCTGATAAAACTCTCGCGAGTTCTTGCTCGCACGACGTCGCGAAACGTCGACGAGTTTGCATTAAACCTCCCTACGACCGAAATAATTCAACGAGGTGCGAATTAAGCGAGCCAGATCTCGTAATGAGAAATTAGTCGCGGCGATTAATTGACTTAATTGAACACGCGAAAGAGAAAATCGACTTTATTGCTGATAACTTAGCATTCCATCGCGTTGATTCATCGCGTTTCTTGTCTAAAGAATCCGTCGTCGCTATTCATTTATTTTAGAGAGAACATTCCGGATGTAAGAAAATAATATGTAACTTCTTTCAAGCTTATCTTGTTCTTTTCGATAGATCCAGAATGTCATGTCTCGAACGCAAAAAATTCTACGCCGCCGATGTTAATCTACGATTCATTGATGTTTATCTCTTTGACATCGGCTTCTTTTCTGGGCGTGGTAGAAGGTGTACGGCAGTCACGGATATACGACCATACCTCGTGATATATCCATAAGGTCAGCTGACAAGGCGATCGGTGCAACGTTACCGTTATACGTATAGGAGAAAACCTATCTACGCCCAACAGATGAGAGAGAGAGAAAGAGAGTGCGCGTGCGGTATAATCGCTCTCCCGCATTCCGTTTGAGTCTACAATTTTGTCCCGCTGCAATAAGATAACCAGTAAAGGCCTACCGGGCCTGAAGACGTAGAAATTGCACCGATAATATCGTGTCTTGCCGCGCCTCGCTGCGATTTGCGAGTCGCGACTTATTCCGACACACACCATATTACTACTTTCCAATCACGTATCTGGGTATATACGAGTACGTCCTGAAAAAACCGCCGATTTTATCTCGATGATGTAAATACTTGAATCAATCTGTCATTAATCTTCTCTGCAAAGCGTTTTCAGCCATTGACAAATTTGAAATTATAACCAATTTGAGGAAATTACAGAAAGAGAGATAAAAGTATGTAATTTTTAAATCAGCTTTGATCAGTAATATAGTTTTAGGTGAATTTATCGGAATCGCAATAATTCTCTTCACTTATTAAAAAAAATACTGTATTTTTAATTATGTATTAATTATATGTATAAAATCATTTACAATGTAATTAATATTTAAATAAATTAAATTAAATTAAATTTAATGGAAATGATTCGAATATTTGTTTCGCACTCTCTCTTGTCTCGTTCCACGGGCAACATCATTCGCTTTATGAAGGTATATCGAGCGACAGATATCAAAAAGAGGAGAAACAGACGGGACCTCACCGGCGCATTAGATGTACACGACGCGATAGAGGTAGCCCGAGATAGTATCGGAGCGCTTTTACAAGAGGGAAGCTATTCTTTATTTCTCTCTTTCGGGTCCATTTGAATAACACAACATCGTGTTGCGAGCGCGCGGAGTCACGAGAGGAAAATACGCCACCGGCGCGATTCGGGACGCGAGAATTCCGAGCTCATCCTTCCGAGGTGAACTCATTCTTATCGTCATGAGAGAACGTATACGTAAAATACGGAACGATTCCTCGCGAACCAATATTTGACGTAATTCTAAAGCTGCATCCCACATTGTGTCGCATTCTATTTTCATGCAAGTTGAACCCATCTTTGTCGTTATTTCTTTTCAAGTTTCTCTTTTCGATATTAAATAAAAAATAAGTACCAAGCATGTTTTTTTCACAAGATAATATATTTTTAATTTTAATGCAGCTATATAATAATTAAAAATGATACGTGATTATTCCAGGGTGTCCAGCGGACTCAATGAAAGAAATTCCCTGACTTTTTCAGATTTTCCAAGACCAGAAATTTATTTTTTTTCTGACTTGTTCCAAATATATATAATTTGCATATATCTATATGATAAATCAATTAAACGTTAAATCATGAAATTCTTGATATTTTGTCAACAATAAAAAATTCAGAAGTCAAAAAACAAAATTTAAATCAATTATACAATCTGCATAAAATCCAGATAAATAATAAAATTTCCCGACTTTTCACCGACAATTCCTGAATTATAAAATTCCCTGACAATACCCGGTTTTCCAGATTTCCCTGATCGCTAGACACCCTGATTTCGTATTATTGTTAATAAAAATATAATTAAAAATAATACTCGTGATTTTATAGCAAAAGCAATTTTGAAATATCAGATACACAATAATATATTTAAGCACGTTTCAAATATTATCATTACATTCTATCTTAATGTCTGGGCTTCGTAGAACCATGAGAAGCACGATGTCAATCACGATGTAATAAAAACGAGGCCGATGTAATGAAGACGCGGATAAAGACCGGGATGGATATTCATCACGCATGAGATTCGGATGCTGCATGATATTTTTGTCCGATCAGCGAATCTCGCGCGAGCGCAATTCGACGAGATCCAGCAATCATCATCCAGTAATTTTAATTATCGCGCGCGTATATATTTACGACTGGGAATCGCTTCATCTCGGACGCGGCAATCTCGAGGGCATCACCAGTAACGAAGGGACTCTTACTGATCGACGGCTAAGATTGTAGCAGCGGGTCCTCTGACTAATTACATTCCTAACCCGAAGTCGGGTGCACGTCGCCGAGGGAATAGCGTATATGCGAAGTAAAGGCCCCGCACGATTCTATATCCAATTATGTACGGACGGATTGGCAGCGAAGGCCCGTAGATATGTTTCGCGATTTGATTGGCCTTCCTCGACCTGTTATCGTCGAACGGATATGCAGTTATTCGGGATTATGCTGTCTCTCCCTGCCTCTCTTATTTCAACTTAATTACGTTAATATTCTCTCGCTTCGCTCTTACATAAGAACTCTCCGTTACATCATCTTCCGATGTAACTGAATTTTTCACCGCGTCAAATGTATATCATTTTATGATCGAGATCCACACGATTCTATCTCTTTTCTCAAGTAAAATAGATTCATTTTTGTTCCAAATATATATAATTTGCATATATCTATATGATAAATCAATTAAATGTTAAATCATGAAATTCTTGATATTTTTGTCAACAATAAAAAAATTCAGAAGTTAAAAAAACAAAAATTTAAATCAATTATACAATCTTCATAAAATCCAGATAAATAATAAAATTTCCTGACTGAAATTTTATATATATTTTAAGCGGTTTAAACATTTTATTTAATATGCACCAAACGTTTATCGTAGCCTAACCGTCCAAACATCGCTCAAAAAAAAAAAAAAAAGCTGCAACCACCGATTATTTTCTTCGTGGAACGAACGGATCGTTTTCGAGATCAAAACCAAGGCTGAATGACATGGCGAGTAATATTTGATGAAGGGTATATGGTTGGTCGGTATATTAGGACTAATGAACAGATTAGAGACCCCGATATGACCCCACAAACGGCAGATGTGCGAAGCTACACGTACTAAAAAATTCGCTGCATCCGTATCGCCTACATAATGAAGAAACAAAAGGAGAAAAAACAGAACCGAATCTCAATCTCGTAGAGAGAAATAAATGTCGCGATAATAGACGATGCATTCTTCTCTCTCGGAAATCTTTTTTTTTCGTATCATAAAACTGTTAATAATTTTCTCTCGCGATCGAATCGCGTATTTTTCTAAGCAATGTATGAGATGCAGATCTAATTAAATTATCATGAAATAACGTTCGATCTTTCGAAACTTTTTTTCTTGCGTATTATATCTCGCTTCTTTTGAACGCCGCATTTTGCAACCCCTGCGTTGCAAGACCGATAGCTTACAATTTGTATGCACAGTCATCCGCACTTCCACGTGGATTTATCAAGCTGATATCTACAGGATAGAAAGCTCTTGCTCTTGTTTCGAGCGTATCCCGCGGCATATAAAACGCGATAGAGATGCCACGCGATGTTTCCATAAATTCCCTCGTGAAGCGTTTTTCAATATCGAACACAATACCGTATTTAACCGGAACGAATAAATCTATCTAGAGACAATACCTGCTCTTCGTAGTTTGAAGAACGCTCGCGTGCATGGTTACAAGAGATATAGCCCTCTTCCGCACAATGACACAAATCTACAAAAGTTTTGTCAAAATAAAAAAAAGTATGAAGAGAATGTATGAGAATCCTCTACGCAGATATCAACTTTTAAAAAGATATAAACTTGGAAAATATAAATTCTGAAGAGAAAAAATGATCAAAAATATCAAATAAAC